GAGGGCCACCCCGGGGGCGGGGGCACCTTTAGAGCCCGGGGCAAACGGGGGGGCGCCCAGGGTGGAGGGTTTCTCGGTGGTTTTTGTGAGGGAGTTAAAAACCAGTTTTTGGAGACCCGGGGGGGGGAAGGGGGGTTTCGAAAGGGAGGAGGCCATTCGGGCTTTTAAGGGGCCCAAGGGAAGGTTTTTTTTTTTGCGGGAGGTAATTTGGGGGGGGGGGGGGGGGGGGGGGTTGCTGGCGTTTGACGTGCCATGCATTTCTTACGAGAAGGAGTTTGGGGCGAGGTTGGCTAGCGAGCCGTAGGCGTGAGTTGACGGTAAAGGGGCTGTTGCTGTCTAGGGTGTTGCTGGATGCCATCGTTGTTTGTTATGATGTTGCTGTTGGCGTTGTTGGAGTGGGTAATAGGGTTGTTATTTTTCGTGTTGCTGGTTGCCTTGTTGTTGTTTACGGAGGTTGTTGTTTTTTTTGGCTGATGTTGTGGCTGCGGTTGCGGTCGTTAATTTTTTTTCCCTGTCCCCCCCCCCCCCCAACGCGCTCCCGAAGGAAGCTCCGTGAACGCACGGCACACGTACATGCAGGCAAGCACTTTCCGTGCTAAACACAAATCGGCTTACACACGAACCGCCATCTTGTGCTTCTTCCCTTCCCTCGGCCGTATCACCTGTCCTTCCTTGGTCCTTCTTGCAGACGAACAAGACCGTTCTCATTGCTCGAGGAGTACTCCCCGGCGCCTTCCCGCCCTCGTACGCGGTGGCACTGGCCGTGACCAAGCTGGTGTCGCTTCCGCCTGCGGCCGTCGGGCCGCTCTCGGTGCTGCTCGCCACTAAGCCGGTCAGTCCCTCTCTCGTTGTCGTTGTTGTTGTTGTTGTTGTTGTTGTTAATTGTTGTTGTTTTCGTCGATGTTGGTGGTGTTGCGTCGTCGTTCTTTTCGTGCCGGAAAACGAAGCGGTTTGTGACCTCCTCGTGCAGCAGCACGGGCCTGCAGTATTATATGCACACTGGCACATTTGTAGAAAACAAACATTTAGCACAGATGGAAAGCAATGAAGAAAATAGTATTTCCTTCTTTTCCGCGTATTTTACCAACTTGCCGCCCATTGGGGGGCTTTGGGCTGTGAGTACGATAAGCGCTTGTCACGCGATAACCGGTTGTCGCACCCGCAACCCAAAGCCCCCCGATGAGCGATAAGACGGAGGAATATGCGGAAAAGAAGGAATTATATTTTTCTTCATGCTGTTACGTCTGTGCTAAACGTTCATCTTCTACAAATGTGCCAGTGGTGCATGCCCGCTACCGCCCATGTCTGCTGCAAATGAGAAACTAGCAACGAGGTGTTGGTACCATTTTTCTACATGTATGCATACGTGTATCCATGATTGGGTAAGATGTGGGGCTGTTAGCTTGAGCATTCGACCACAAAGGAAGGTAGTACTCACGACCTGACGTGCGCTCGTCAACATGCCATATGGCATCGCGAGAAACAAAGCAAGAAAATGCCGGAAAAAAGCGAAAAACGTCAAAAACCGATTTTGACCAGCATCGCTTGAAAAATAACTTTGTTGGAACACATATCAAGAAACTAAGTAAGAAAAATTGGCCGAAAACAGCAGCGTCTCCAAACCAAAGTTTGACCAGCATCGCTGAAAAAAAGCCCTTAAAGAAACAGTAGCTGGAAAACATCTGGCTAAAAACGAAGCAATATACCGGAAAAGCGGTGAAACATGTCAAAACCAAAAGTAGAAACGAAGTTAAAAATGCCAGCCGGAAAGCAGTAAAACGTCCAAACCAACATTTAACCAGCATCGCTGAAAAAACTGTGCTGGAAAGCATCTCGATAGAGACGAAGTAAGAAATGCCGGGAAACAGAATAAACGTCAAAACCAAAAGTGTACCAGCATTGCTCCAAAAATAAAAACAAATGATGGCAAAAACATGTCGAGAAGCGAAACCAAAAATGCCAGCCGGGATATAGTACCGTATAACGTCCAAACCAAAATTTGACCAACATCGCTCGAAAACTAACAAAAACCGTGCATTCAGGATGGGGTGGAGAGCTGCCTGAGCGTCCTACAAGTCCGCGAGGGGGCGACTGCCGGAGACGAGTTGACGAGAGGACTGCCTGGGGAGCCGCTGACACCGGGAGACAAGACGCTCTTGGAGCTGAAACCCCTCAAGGCCTTCTTGCCCGGGGAGGTGCGTAATTTTTTTTTCTGTCTTTTGCGATGATGTGTCGTTGGTGTTTTGTGCCGTCTGTGTTCTGGGCGCCAGCCTACTGTGCACCTTTCGGTGTATGTGTTTGACGTATAATGAATCAGCTGGGGTCAAACAGGAGGAAGGCGACGCAGGCAATGTTTTGTTTTGTTTGGTTTTGGTGGTGGTGTAACGGTGATTTGTGTGACCCGCACCACGTAATACGACGGGGTACATGCCGAATACAGCAGTAGGTAGAACCGGTGGCGCTAAATAAGTCACACCTCAAGCACATGGTAATGTTTACTGACACAAGCAAGCGCGGTGCTACAACAGCATGCGTTTCGGCAGGGGGGGGGGGGGGGGTGTACTCATAGTCGTGCATGCCGTAGTCGTTTGACCATTGACCTCGCATCCCTACAAAGCCGGGACGGAGCACGCCGGGTTCTCACCGGACCAGGCTCTCACATCACCAAGCGCGAAGCGCCGTGAGGTATTTGGCGAGTCGCATGAAGGGTGAGCTGCATCCTGCTAAGGGTGTTCGGCATCTTGTGCTTACTTCCTTGCGTACGGATGACAGCTACGTATGACTTAATTTATTTTCTGGTGCTTTCACTTCCAGAGACAGTAGTAAGCACTGTGTAACTGCCTCGAGGAAGCTTGACCATTTTAACACAACGTGGTGCGATCATCCCCCGTTGCGCGGAGTGAGGTTTCTCGACCCCGCACAACATGATCTACTCGACCACCATTATGGTTACCGCCAAAAAAAAAACGAGGTAAAAAAAAAAAAAACGGTAACCTGGTTGCCGAGTTCACGAAGTGAATTGGCTTGTTTTACAACGTCGTTGCCAAGCGACGAAAACCCAGAACCCCGATGGCAACCACCGGGGGGGGGCGGCTTGTTTTACAACGTCGTTGCCAAGCGACGAAAACCCAACCCCGATGGCAAACACCGGGGGGGGGGGTCGGCAGGGGGGGGTGATTTTTAATCGATATCCTGTAGATTCCGGCGGGGTTGCTCTTCTACGTGTGCGACCGGCCGATCCCCTTATTGGCAATAAATGCTTTCCTCGCTAGACTTTTTTTTTTTTTGCCTGTTTCGCGCTTCGTTCTTGCGCGTGCAGCAAAACTGACGCGTCATCTGCGTAGACACGGGGAGCACCCCACACGCAACAAAAATCTTCTCGACGCCACGCAAACCGGCGATAGCATTATAACATTATAACACGAACCCTGGGCGGCATATCGCATGAACAGACCGCGAACACCGCAGCATGTCATGTTCCGGACACCAAACTGGCTTGACTCAAACGGTCCCGCCAAAAGTTCGACCTCAAAACACAAAACAAACAATAACAGGTGATAGCATGGGAAGACAAGAGCGGCGGGGGCAACAGCAACAGCCCCGCTTCGAGCCTATACGCATCCACGGAGCCCCCCAACGCGACAACCACTACCAGTAGCGGTGGTGGTGCTGCTGTGGTTCTGCGGTACGGCGTGGTGGTGATCGGCGGGTCGGCGGAGGCCGGCGAAGGGGGGGGAGACGACGATGATGTCCCCGGGGACCAGCGGGGCTCGGGTCGGGTCGGACAGGGGCTCCGCCACGTGCGCGTGAAGCTGACCCCGGGAAGGGTAGACGCGCTGCTCTCCACGCAGGTTAGTGGTTTCGGGGCGAGGGGGGGGGCTCAATAGATATTCAGACACTGGCATATGCAGCGAATGTGAAAATCGAAGGAACGCCGCTTATTGTTTTGCGAATCTTGCTCTCTGAGGTATGGGAGTGGGCGGCGAGGGATCAATAGATATTTGGAAACTGGGAAGCGAGCGCTACTACAGTTTCCAAAAAATATACCACTTCGTATGCGTGTGCACGTGCTCTTTTGAAATTACAATTGCTAACCAGTAATGATCATCAAGCACATATTTGGGATTCCCAGAACTCAACGGAGAGACTTGGCTTTTTTCTTGCCGTGAATTTTTCGCCGTATGGCGGCCCGGGACCAGATCTACTCCTTCCGACAGGCCCGTGCCGCGGGGGCGACACCGTCTTCGGGCATCGTCGCACACGCCGCGAAGATGCTCCGCAGAATCGCGGGAGAAGACAAGGAGGGGGGCGTCGAGGAGGGCAAGAGCGGAGGGGGGGGGGTAGGGGGTGGTGGTGGTGGTGGTGGCGGCGGCAGCGGTGTCGTGAGCTCGGCTCAGGTTCTTGACGCCGTGAACGATATCCTCGGGAAGGCGGAGCTGTCGCTGTCGACCGAGCAGGGGGCGCGGCTGAAGGAGAGCCTGAGGCACAAAGGTAGCTTGATCTCTCTCCTTATCCCCACGTGTAGCCCTGCGTCACCCTTCGCTGTCGCACCATTGGAGAGTAGAGCAAGACTACTGCTTGTTGTGTAGATTGTGGGCCACACAAAGTTGAGAAAAAGCAAGGCGCCGCACAGTTACCCGATCTCCGTAGCGTTTTCAGGTCACCGGTTGTTTGGTACCCTGATGGCCGTTTCTTCGTGGTGACCTACACGTCCATGTATGTTGCTCTTTTCGGAGATAGATGTCACCCTCTCACCCCCGTCCGAATATGTTGGTCTTTTCGGATATAGATGCCACCCTCTAACCCCCCCCCTGCACTTGTTCTACCCCGGATGCATATGTCGTTTCTTGAACGCTAAACGCGTGGCAGTGATGGCCACTGTCAAATTGTGGTGACGAATACGCCCGAACAATTTTCCTACATAGAAATCACCCTGTAACCACCACCCCCTCTTCGCCGTTTCCACAACCAACCACGGATGCTCGTGTCATCGCTTGGACGCTTCACGCGCGGTCGGTGTCGCAGACGAGGCCCGGGTGGCCCGGGTGGCCTTGGCCAAGACGTCCGCGGAGGCGGACCGGCTGAAGCGAAAGCTGGCGAAGGTGGACAAGGCGTTCGTGTGCTCCATCTGCTGCACCAATGACGTCGACGTCATCTTGGCCCCCTGTGGACACATGATGTGTTCCTCCTGGTGAGAAAAATGAGACATTTTGTTGTTGTTGTAGACAACCAACGCGTTTTGTTGGTATGATTGGTATGATTTGAGTCGTCTGTCAGATTCGGCGGGCCCAACTATTTTTTCTCAAATGTGTTTGCTGTTGCTGTTTATTTTGGAAAGGATGAGAATTGACGGTCTGATGAATGTCCACCCAACTCTGTGTGTTTCCTCGCGACAACAGTGTTCTCCGCCCACCCTCGACATCACCATTTTTAGTTGTTTTTTTTTCTTTTCGTTCGTCGACCTTTTCTTCTCGTCTTGCATTTTTTTGCACTGTTTTCTTTTTTATTTTACATGCATGTTCACACAACTTTGTTTCGACCTTTTTTTGTGTGTGTGTGTGTGACGGCGTTTTTTCCAGCATGCGGTCGATTGTGAGGCGCGAGTGCCCGTTCTGCCGCGAGAGGTGGACGGCGACGGCGACATTCCGCAGGCCGGGAGTGGACGAGGTATCCGATGACGAAGACGAGGAAGACGGGGGCCGATAAAATGGCTACCATTTCGACTCCGTGCCACGGTTTTTGGGGAGAGGAGACTGGGCGTGGTTAGATTATGCCTTGGCTATATTCTGCGGTAGTGGTGCCGGAGGAAGAGCATCTAGGTGCGGATCGATCGCCCAGTTGTCGTACGGCACATTGCGAAACCCGTGTGCAAGAGGAGCAGAGAGAAATCACGTGTCCGAGTACATCTAGGAAAGCGACAAGAAAACAACCAGAAGAGAACAAGAAAACAACCAGAAGAGAACAAGGACGCTTATGTCCAAACCGAGCGGTAAAACATTTGTCAGTATTATTTAAAACAACAAAAGAGCACGAGGAAGAGGTGAAGAAGCAGCATGGCATGACGCCGTTATGACACAAAGTCAGCCTCTACTCATGGCTGCAGGCACAGGCAACCTCACGCCTTTTTTCGCGAGGAAAAGTGGGTGGAACAGCAGTGTTGGTTGTTCGTTGTTTGTTGTCGTTGTGTTCGGAATGGACTGACTTGAGTGCGATATTTGACGATCGCGCATGGTCATGGCAACAGCAGTAGCAGCACAAAGCTGGGCGGAAAAGAATCACTGGGCGTAAGGGATGGGTGGGGAAGTTGGCCTGGGCGGCGAGACCGTATATTAGTCTGTTCACAACGGTGTGACGACGATGGGCGTGTGTGTAGCGCTTGAAGTGTCGTTGACCCTAGCACACACAGCAGCGACCCCGACAAGCTTCGGCAATCAATTGTTGTTGCTTGGTCTTGTTGTTCCGGGGGAGGAGGTTGTTTTTGCTGTATTGGAGCGAGGAGGTTTTTTCTTCTATATAGCCAACACCTTTTTCGCTGTTGTTCCACCCTTGTGGAACAGCTGTTGTATTTGCATTCAGTCGTGTCTCAGTAGTAGTAGTGGTGACGCAGTCTAAAGTGCAGGAAAGAAAGGTGATAGAGACATGCATCCAGCACTTCATTTGTTTTCTCAGTCTGAAAGGGGGGAATAGTTTTGAACACGCAGAAGTAGCAGCTACACCTTGAATGGTCGTTGACGACGCCACACGCCTTGATTTTACTCGTTGCTTGCGGTAATGTGTGGATGCGAACGATACTGTAGTGCGGGCACAGAGCAAGGTGTGCGAGGCGTGCGTGGTCTTGGTGATGTCGAGTGCCTCTTTCGGGTGAAAAGGGGCGTGATGTGGCGTGTTCGTGGTGTTTGCACAAGAGCAAGAGCGGTTTCGTTGACGGCCTAGCCTGGGGGGGGGATCCGCGTCGGAGAAGGCGGACCGGCAGCAGGAATGGTGTCGGGATGATAAGAAAATCTGCTTGTGTTCGATGTCATACACTGTTGTGGAAAGTTAAGATCGTCTGCGATGCCAACCACAACGAGCGCAACGAAAATAGAGCGTGCTACGCGCGTGTTGGAATCGAGTATTTCTATGAACTCCTTCCTGTTTTTTTTGCTGTTCGGTGTCATCAAAGCTCAGCTCAAAACACGCCTCTCCGGGATGAGCTTATAACAATTCCTGATACCTCCTTACCACGTGCGCTCGCAACACAGCTCTCCCGACGAGACACTACTTGCAGATACTGCTGCTGCTGTGCCGTACAATTGGGCCAGTCGACGACGGCACCAAGCAGGGCACTCGGGTGACCGACTGACGTCCTTGGCCATGCACAAACCCGACATGTGCCGAGGGCAGGTCAAGGGTCTGTCACCCTACTTTTCGCTTCCTGTGTCTCTTGCTCTCTCGCCATCACAACCGCCGCAAAAAATGTCCCCACGACGAGGAGAACCCCAAACTACAAGAAAGAGTAGAATCAGAAACGGACTGCAGGTTCCTGTAGGTTCGGTCAAGAATTCTTTGCATCTCTCGTTACCTACCACTTTTGTACCCACTTACGTAGAAGTATGCAAAGACAAGGGCTTGGAATATGAACGCACATCACGCACAAACATTTGCTGAAAAGGTGAGGTGAACACCCCCGTAAACGCGTACTGCTACTCCCCAAGTACAATAAACGTCCCACCGGAACATGCCTCCGCATAAACACATCCACATCGTAGATTTGCAGGGTCTCCACTGATGGCGCAAATGTGCCAGGAGGGAGGGGAGGGGGGGGGGGGGGCTCCGGGGCTCTTTTTTTATGTAGTTCCCCTCTTTTTTTTCCTTTTAAA